CGTTATGGCATACTGTTGATGGAATAACAAGGGGAAAAAAAATCTATTCAGTACAGACATATTTTTTTCTGGTTGAGTCCACTGATGCAAACGTCATGGATACCAAGGGCTGATTGTAATTTGTTTAAATTGGTCCTTTATTCATTTATTTATACTATTCATTAGGCAAAATGACAATTCCTTCTATAAATCTAATTGATAATGTATATGTAGTGGAGTAAAATTATAAGCATTATAATTACCAGTTGGCTTTAAAACACAGTGACTAAAAATGCTTTACCAGTGATTATAAATGGGAAACATTTTAACAGCTGTAGCTCTCAGGATCAATTACTATCCACAGCATTTAAAGTTATAACCTCAAACCTTTTAAAAGCAATGTCACAAAAAAATGTATATTCATGTTGGGCATGGTGGCACATGCCTTTAATAACCAGCACTGGGGAGGCAGAGGCAGGCAGATCTCTGTGAGTTCAAGGCCAGCCTGGTCTATATAGTGAGTTCCAGGCCAGTTGGGGCTACAGGAAGACCCTGTCTCAGAAAGACTTTAAAAAAAAAAAGTGTACAAAAAAAAAAATCAACAAATTTAAAAAATGAGTTATATTTGAGGAGGAAGGATAAAAATTTACACCATGTTAAACAGTAGAGGTGATAAACATTACCACTGAAATCTACCCGTTTATACCCATACACAGGTGCCAAGGAGTCAAGTGCAACTGACCACGATTAATAATCAGATGCATACAGATTAGAGACGCATGTGCCAACATCTAAGCATTATTAGCAAAAACAATGAGTCTTTCTGTAAGAAACAGTGTATTTTAAAATGAATTGGAGATCTTTTTTAAAGATTAAAAACTCGTTCAATTTTATGTCTACAGGGTTTATATTGAGTTCAATATTGTGTAACTGTATTAATTCAACTGTGAACCTAAAAATTTTATAGCCACTTTTGAAAGAGATGTATCTTTGGTCTGGAAATTGTTATTGAGAATGTTAAAGCTGTAATGAAATGCTTCTAAAAAATAAAAAAATTTTAGGCCGGGCGTGGTAGTACACGCCTTTAATCCCAGCACTCAGGAGGCAGGGACAGGCGGATCTCAGTGAGTTCAAGGCCAGCCTGGTCTACATAGTGAGTTCCAGGACAGCTGGGGCTACAGGGAGACACTGTCTCAAAAAGACCAAAAAATAAAAAAATTTAAAAAAATTTTTTAAAAAGCATATATTCTCCAATATGATCTCATTTATTAACAAAAAGATATCCCTGTCTCTCATACACCCCCAAATTAATAAGACATGATTATTCAAAGTTGCCTTAGTCATATATCTTTTCTTTTTAAAGCCTGATGATTGACTATGACGAGATCTCAAAGCTTCAGCTAGTTATTTATGGGACCCTTGAATTCAGCATTTAGAGAATTCTTCAGCATTTGTTCTCACTTCCTGTTTTCTTAAAAAGCTAAAAACAGAAAAGCTAAACATATTTCTCTTAAAAAATTTAAATAGTAGAAACCTTTCACATACATATAAAGCACTTCAGACAACTATCATTTCTACTTGTCTTCTCTAAGTTTTAAAGTAGCATATATAATTATACAAAAAGGTTAATAACAAAGAAATATTTCAAATAACATAATTTCCATAAATCTCTTCACTCCATTTTAATTCCATTTCCCAGGAAAAAAAAAAACAAAAACAAAAAACAAAGATAACAGTCTGGTCAACACTGATCTAAAAACCATTCTCATAATATATATGATTGCAGGGAAAGTTTTTTTTTTTGTTTTGTTTTTTCTTGTTCTTTTTGAGACAGGGTCTCCTTGTAGCCCCAGCTGTCCTGGAATTCACTATGTAGACCAGGCTGGCCTTGAACTCACAGAGATCCACCTGCCTCTGCCTCCCGAGTGCTGGGATTAAAGGTGTGCGCCACCACGCCCGGCCGGAAAGTTTGTTTTACACTGTATCAGACTTTGATCAGAAAGAATTAGGAAGAACATTATTCTTAAAATGTTAAGATGAAAGGCTGAGAGATGGCTCAGAGGTTAAGAGCACTGACTACTCTGCAGAGGACCTAGGTTTGGTTCCCAACACCCACATGGTGGCTAACAACCACTTATAACTCCAGTCCCAGGGGATCTAATATCCTCTTCTGACTTTCACAGGCATTGGCCATTGCACAACATGGGTGTCATTTACACATATACACGCAATACACACATAGACACATTAAAACAAAACAAAAAAAAAGTCAAGATGATACTTCTCTAACTACCAGATTTTGCTTTTCTGAAATGGCTGTGAGCTGACATATGGTAAAATTACTAAACTAATTTAGAACTGTAAAGTGGTAGGAGAGGGTAGAGAGGGTATCAATACATTCACTGCAATTAAAGACACTATTTTAGATAACACCTTTCAAAAAGCAAGACATAGAAACAACTGATAACTTTCAAAAATGTTTAAGGAACAAAATTTTACTACTCAAAAATTTGCCTACATAAGCTTTTGAAAAAGAGTTATGTAATATTATAATAGCAAGAACCAAAAAATTACAGCAATTGACAAACTCTAAATTCTAACAAAAATTGAAAGTATACAATTAAAATGTGGGTCAATAAATGTGACACTGCAAAGGGTTAAGTTGATGTAGTCTAGGCTGAAGTTCTAATAAGCAACAATTAGAAGGTAGGGCCAGAAAAACAGGGAAATTATATATCATACAGATTAATTCTTTAAATATTAAACACATTCAAAGTTATCAGCAGGCTCTATAGTGTGAAAGAAATCTAAGCATACAATTAGCTATCTACCAAACTTGTTATTTCTAAATTAATTCTCCAAGAATCTTCAGTCTATTTTTACACCCAAAAACTGCATTAAAAAATTTAGAAAAATATGTTGTTTGTTTCCTTCTTATTAAAGAGAATCTAAAATAGATAACCTACTTTAAAGACATCTGGGTTATCTAATACATACCTACCTGTATCTGAAAGAGTAGCTACTAAGCAAACACTGATTCACAGAATCAGCAAGGTGCTCCCTAACTAACTACTTGGCCTTTAAACTCCCAACTTGAAATGGAAGTAACTGCCATTTACATCCAACTAGTAGACTGAACCCTGAAGAGCTGACTGTGGCATACTGATGAGACATAAAAGTAGAATTCTACTTATCCCTGGTGCTAGTAAATAGTTCACACTATACATGTACATGTTCGCATAAAGCACATGTACAAAAGTCAAGAGGGTGGGTAACCATATGTGAATCTGGAGCCATCAATGAGAGTTGAATATCTCACAGCTGATAACAGATCAACCAATGTTCTGTTATCATTAATAAAATAAAAATCTGTAAATTATTCTTGAGAAATTATTCTCAATTCTTCACAAGTAAGTTTTTAAAAGAAATAATATAGAAAGTAGAATAAATCATCACCTCACTTAGTGCTCAACTGAGTAATTTTGTTCATGCTTCTTGAATTTCCTAATGTTATAACACACCCTTTTATAAAACACTCCTTTCTCCCAAGACTACTGTTCTCATATGCGAAACATAATTTAATCTAGCATGCAAAACCATTTTTTCTTTTTAAAAACATTCTTTCCTTGTGGGGACAGGGAGGTGCATATGCGTGTGTGGTGTATGTGCACATTTATTTTCGAATGCAGAGGCCAGAGGAAGATGTTGGGTGTCCTGCTCTATCACTCAACCCTTACTCTTTGAGACAGTTTCTCGCTGAGCCTGGAACTAGACTAGTGGCCAACAAATTCCAGCAATCTTTCTGTCTCTGTAGCCGATAGCACTGGAGTTACAGACATGCATGGCAATAGCCAGCTCTTTTTATGTGGTTGCTTGGGATTCGAACTCAGGTCCTCATGCTTGCACAGCAACCACTATGACCCACTGAGCCATATCCCAAGCCTTGCTTTTTAATAATATTTAATAACATGCTTGGTAATATTTGCATTTTGTGAAACTTAGGCTAAAGCATACAATAAGCTTAAAATTACTTGGATTTATGTCTTCTGACTATCTATGACTTACTGCATGCTTGCTCCAGGCTCACTTAGAATCATTCTACATGTATTTTCTATAAGAAATGAGTTAATGGTTGTTAATCTAATACACAAAATCTCCCAAGAGGTTATTCAAACACATAAAAGAGAATCTACATTTATGAATTATTTTTTGATCTATTTTTGTGTTACAAACATTTTTAACTTTATGTATGTGCATATGTACATGAGCACATGTATATGAGTTGTATGTACATGTACATGAACACATATACGTGCATGTGAGTATGCACACATGGAAGCCAGAGGAGGGTAGCAAATGTCCTCCTTTATTGCCCTCTACCTTTGAGGTAGGGACTCTGGCTGAACTTGGAGCTCTTGTTTTTTGGCTAGATTGGCAGCCAGCAAGCCCCACCAATCCTCCTGTTCCTGCCTGATTCGGTGATGGGATCATAGGCCAGCACAGGACTAGCCTGGCTTTTACATGGCTGCTAGAATCTGAACTCTGGTCCTCATGCTCGCAGAGCAAGTGTTCTTAACTGAGGAGCTACCTCTTCAGCCCCCATATGTAATTTTTTCATGTGGTGCTGGAAATGAAAGTCTGGGCCTTGTATATGCCAGGCAAGCATTCTATCATTGAGCCTCTGCTCCTAAAAGAAAACTTTAAAATCTCAACTCCTGCTTAATGAAAATAGTCAAGGATCCATTTTCTCTTACAGCTAATCTCTATAATGAAAAAAAATTGAATTGAAGAAAAATTATGTCAAATAGTTGGAAATTATATAATTGTTTCTTTCAGATATTAGATGGTACCTAATATTCCAAAATAGTTTGTTAAAATCTTTACTTAGAAACAAGTTTTACAAGAACAAGATGGCTTTTAAACACTAGGCAGGGATGATTTTTTAAAGTTTTCAATTTTAGAGCATAATTTACAACAGTATGCATTTCAAACAGAATCATCCTGTGAATACAAGGACTCACCATCTGTATGGGTTTCTTGTGGAGATCTCGCTCAGTTACCAATTTTTCTTGGTCAGTGACATAAAGACCTTTCTGTGCTAAAGCCTGGATTACAGCATCGTGGCCCAAAAGGGGTTTTGCCGCATCACTCTTGAGAATGAGACTCCCAGCACGACAGTACAGCTCAGCTGACAGAAGAAGATTAACAACAGGTGGTTTGATGTGCTCCTGGTCATACTGATCTGTGTAAAATGGTTCTCCAAGTTCCTCTGGCACATTTTCTGTAAAGATTAAGGGGGAAAAAAAAAATCTCTTTACAATATTTTTTAACAGGAACACAAGTTATTTAATAATTATTAATCATACCACAGAAACTTGAGATTCTTTCTAAAAATAATATCCTTAACTAGAAGGATGATTTGGGGGGGGGACCTTGAATATAAGATTTAGAATGAAAAATATAAATTTCCTTTACAAAAGATATGGTTCTGAGGATATTCCAAAAGGGGATATACAATAAGAAGACGAAAATAGGGTGAAAAGTTTTTTTTAGTAACTCTGAGGAGGGTATTCCCACATGCAGTGTCTTAAGTACAGAATGAATCATAAGATTCCTAAAGGCCAATGTCAGTGAACTGCAGTCACACATGTAAGCAATCAGGAAATGCACCCAATGGCTACTTCAGACGGCTGTTAGGTCTTTGCTACCCGAGAGAAATAAATCCTTTGCCCAAAGTTTTACAGTTACCAAGCAGTAGAACTAAGGCTGCCTAACTCATCTGGTCCTGCTTTTTTAAGGCCCCCAGGTCTTTCTCCCTTTTTGCTTAGCCTGAAATTACTGAGGGGAAATTACAGCAACGGCTTAGAAAAGACTCACTGCTAAAAATCTTTCATTCAATACTGATGGCTACAAAAATCATACATAGGGCAGACCGGAGAGCTGGCTCAGCAGTTAAGAACACTGGCTGCTCTTGGAGAGGACCCAGGTTCAATTCCCAACATCCACATGGCAGCTAACAACTGTCCTTAACTCCAGTTCCAGGAGATCTGACGTCCTCTGCTGACCTCTGTGGGCACTGCACAACACAGGTGTGCTTACATACATGCAAGCAATACACTCATACCCATAAAATAAAAAATAATATTTTTTTAAAAAAAGGAAAATCAAAGCCTGCACCAATCCAGAAGGAAGATAACAAGTTTATTTTTAAATATGCCAAGTTTGAAATGATATAAAAAATATCGAAGTAGAAATATCTAGTAAGCAGCAAGAAATATAGGGCTCATGAAAGAGGTCAGAGTGAACGTATCAATTTCGGATTTTGGAGCCATCTAAAAATATCCATGTTTAATAATTGAAAACACTTTCTTTTCTTCCTAGTTGCACGAGTGAGCCAACCTTAAACGTAACACAGGGACTCAGCATTGTAAACTACAGACTTCAGTACTGGTAGTAAATTTTAATATCATAGACGCTAAATAGTCACTAACTAGTAGGAAAAAAAAAAGTAAAAGAAAGTCATACTAATTATCATAAAATATGTAAGTGGACTTTATTTCCTGTATCAATAAAAAATGATTAATATAGGTGATTTTGACATTAAACACTAGCCACGCAAAGAAAAGTGCTCATTACCAGAATTACAAATCTATCTAATACTTACTTAATGTTTTTCTATTCATTTTCATACACAGCTTTATAAAACCTCTTGGTGAAATGGGCAAGTAAGGTAATACACAAATAAAAGTAAAGACATACTTACTTTGTATGTGTGAGACACTGCTCAAAGCATAAATTCTGTCATTTAAACCTAACCTTTTTATTTCCATCTGATAGATAAAGAACTTAAGAACAGTTATCTTGCCCAAAGACATAAAGCTATAAATACAGAAATCTAGTTCTAAACTATACAGCTAATCAACTAAAAAATAGCATTGGCATTCCAAGCTCACAAGAGTGGAGGGTGGAAGATGCAAGACCCAGGGACTATTTCCTTTTTGTCAAGGCATACCCACAAACTTAACCCGCAAGAGCCTAAGTTACAAAAGGATCCCCATACAAAGAAAAAGGAACAAATAGACAGTAAGTCAAAGAATTCTTCAAGAATATGTAAAAACATATTTTCAACCCCCCCCCCCAAAGAATGAAAAACTGTCATGGAGCCAAGCTGCTTTCTAAATATCTATGTTTATAACTACAGGCAAATGTTACTCTAGGCCTAATCAGAGAAGCTTCTCTAACAAAGAGCAGCAGTCAATACAGAAACACACTGCTGCTCAAAGTGACAGTTGAGTGCTCAGCCCTCAACAAGACATGTATATACCCTCTGAGGCTCAGGGGAACATGATAGAAGAAGAGGTAGAGAGCATCTAAGAGCTGGAAGATAGGAAGACGAGCTGTGAAAGTTATCTTCTGGCCATGACAGAGTCAATGCAATCATGAGCTCACAGCAGCTGGAGCTGCCTGGATTAAGCCTGCACAAGACTAGGCCTGTTAATAGTCAATCACAGATCTGGGAGGGGCTCAGAGGGCCTACCCTCTCTGATGGCTTGTGGCAAAGAGGCAGACATTGTCTCTAGTACCTACTGATGAGCCCACCAGGCTCCAATGGATAGCTCTAAACCCACAATAACACAGATGGCCCCAGTTACATTGAGCAAGTCACAAAACAAAAGAAAAAGATATGAATGGGGGAAAGAATCTCTTAGGGAAGAGAATCTGGGGATAAAAGGGGTTGGGGGGTGAAAGGTCCAAGAGGGTGGGGGAATGACAGCAATCAGAATGCATTATATACATGTATGAAATTGTCAGAACAACCTTTTAATTCATTCATTTTTATTTTATGTATATGAGTGTTCTGCCTGCATGTATGTAAGTGCACCCGTGTTGTACAACGCCCATGGAGGTCAGAAGAGGGTGTGGGATTCCCCTGGAGCTGGAGTTACAGAAGTTGTTAGCTGCCATATGGGTGTTGGAAACTGAACCCAGGTCCTCTGCAGGAGCAGTCAGTGGCCATCTCTCAAGCCCCCAGAGAATAAATTTTATAAAAGTTATTTTAAAAAATGAAAAGTTCCATTTTGAGTAACTCATGGCAATACTCAAACCTGGACATCCTGTGCTGGGATTAAGGGTGAGGACACCACACCCAAGAGACCACTTAAATCCTCAAAGACCTAAGATTTTCAAAACATCAGATCATAATGGTTTATATATTATTTTTCAAAATGACTTGGAATTGTATATTTTTTTTAAAAAAGAGAACTAAGACAGTATATTAGAAAATAAGTGAGCAAAACCAGATAAAACATTTCACTCTTCTTAACTGCAGAACAAAAGGTAAGAAACTCATAATTACAGAATGGTTGAGGGAAATACCACTGCTAGTCTACAAAGGGTTTGACTGGTTCTTGCACACCAGGTCTTTAGTAGAACCCATCTTACTCATGTTATTATGAATCCTGACTAGATCTCAGTTTTGAAATCCACATGCATCTGAAATGCTTGAGGGGCAGGTAAAGCAGTAGTCCAAGTACTGCTCAGACAACTGTCTATAAAGCTGGATTAGCTGCCAGCCTCATCCACATTCCTCCAAATGGAACAGATTTCTTACAATAATAGAGAGGCAGGAAGAGGGAATGCCTTCTTTTTCAAATCTAAAAACTTGTTTCTAAAATAACTTTAACATTTCTGTGAATTTAAAAAAATCCAATTAAAGGTAAGCCAAACTCAAACTCTGAATTAATTTGAAAGACATAAAAAGTGATCATAAATGGGAAAAGAAACTCATAGTAGCAAAAGTAATCTAAGAAAGTTATAATTAAAGGGGTTTTGGGGGGGGGTTGTTTGGGTTTTTTTGCCTATCAAAATGTCAAAAAAGGAGCTGGGAAGATGGCTCTGTGAGTAAAAGTGCTTGCTGCTAAATGTGACAACCTGAGCTAAGTTCCTAGAGTCCACAAAAAAAAGCTGGATGTGGTGGCACAAAAACCTAGTGTTGGTGCACATCTGTAATTCCAGTACATCTAAGATGGGAGGAAGAGAAAGAACAGGCCAGTAGGCTTATGGGCCAGGTAGCCTGGAGCCAAGTGGCATCAACAAGAGAGTATCTTGCCTCTACAGAGGACGGTGACAAGTAACTCCTAAAAACTGTCTTCTGATCTCTACAGA